TGCTGAACCTCTGTAACTCCCTCTGTAGCTGTATTCAGTGGGCACTGCAGGCACCCAGCTTCTCTTTAAACATGAGAAACCTCGAGGAACTCTGAAATAAAGCACTCTGATCTCTAGCTTAACGTTCAGCCAAATGACCATTGAGAGGATTTCTAATATCCACGTGCTATTAAATGATTTTAACTCAGTCCTGGTGTGTTACTTGTAGGACTTTGCTTCTTCACTCAGCTTCGTTTTCCAGTCTGGATCTAGACAGCTACTCTGCAATAAGGAAAACTGCTCTGAGCTGGTGGGATTGGAGGTGGTAACAAAGTGAGCTGAAGGCACAGAGTGGAAGTGAGCTGCAAGATGTCCTCCATAACCTGAACTGCCGGGCTCGGCCCATGTCAGCGTTCACAGGCCCTGTCCTAAAACCTCACCAAGAGCAGTCCTTGCTGCTGTACCTCAGACAGTGCAGGGGTACAAACCGGGCTTCCCCATCAGCCCTCAGGAGTCCTCCAAAATCAAGGTGCGATGACAGCACGGAGGTAGTAGACTGCTGCTGCCAGCACCGCCTTGGTTTGGTGTGTAACCAAGCCTTCAGCCTCCTCATGCCAGTGCTAAAATGCACAGCAGTAAATTGTGTCTCACCCCATGCCTGGCCACCTGGAAAACAGTTACCAACCAAATCTACTGCTCCACAGGTACGCTACTGGCGGCAGAGGATAGGCGGCAGCAGCGTTGCACTGTGAGCAGCGTTATTTACATGTGTTCTGCCTGGGATCATGATGCGCCCAAGGTTTACACATTAGCAAGGCTTGGCTTTTTAATTAGGGGAACGAAGCATCCATAAGCAGCAAAACAAAACAGGAGGCTTGAAACCATCCTCATTTTGTATTATAGAGAATTTCTATATTCATCAGTACAGGAGCGATTGCTAAACAGGTCCTCACTAGGCTTACTTGCAATTCAAACCAAGGTGGTTATTATGCAAACAGGTTACCTTGGTGGAGGCATCTCCAAGGTGAGTTTAACCCTGTCATGTTTGGTTCCTCTTGTCTAAGTCTTATAGGCCTGTAAACGTTCATGTTGTTATATAGAACTGCGGAGTTATCAGCCACATAGGGCGGCTGATAGTAGTTAGCCTGGATGGCCTTCTGTGGTGGTGAGGGGGTGAATGAGACATAGTTGTGGAAGGAATTGACTCTATGCAGAGGTGACTGTGGGGTGAAGTTGTTGCTGAATATGGGAGTTCTTGGGTTTTGCTCGTTCTCGTGGGTGCTGCCAGCAGAGAGGCTGCTGAAGGGATCGGACAGAGTGTTGGTGCTTTCCTTGTTGCTGCAGGGGAGGCTGCGCTGGGGGGTGAACAGGAAGGGCATGGTGCTTGGGGGAGTCTTCGGGCCCCTCACGGGCTTGGACAGCGCGTAAAGGTGTCGGAACTCTTCGTCAAACAGCTCCACAACTTGGCCCGTGAACTTGGAGAGGAGGTTGCGGTGAACCTGGCCGCATAACCATGTGAAGCTGGAGGGAGGGACAAGGTAAGGGACAGCATTAATGTCAGCCACTGAGGACTGGGCACCCCTGCAGGGGTGGTGCGAAAGGCAAATGTGCTTTACTGCTGAAGATCTTGTCTAATCACATGAAGATGGTGTCACAGTTGAATTTCAGGTCAGTTCACATCAGTGCTCTTTGACTCGGATCAACCTTTGTTACTGCAGCTGCCTCTAAGCCTTCCAGAAACCTTGGCAAGTTACACAACCTCCTAAAGCGAGCGTCCAGATGCACTGCAGGACTAAACGTCAGGTACGGTACCCGAGGTCTGGGTGTCTGCTCCATGGAAAGGAGTTCAGACCCCACGTTCGGGTACCTCTCTTCCATGCACAATGCTTAAAGTCAGCTCTTACCGTGTCTTGTCTGCACACACATATATTGTGCTTTCCCCGCAGAGTGCTGTGCCAGGTGTAACTCTCACCCTCTCCAAACTGACGTTAGAAAGACTACTGCAAATAACCACCTGTCATCCTCATGTTGCCATACATGTGTTAGTCAAGAGAAACATAAAACCCAAGCTCCCTGTCACATCCCGCTCCCACAGAACAAACCACCACACCTGGCAAATGCTCATTTTCTTCACTATAGAGAAAATGAAATTATAAACATTTCCTACAGCCTTTCCAACAATAAAAATACTACTTTGCTCTGAAGTAAGAGAGAAACACCTCAGCAGTTTTTGTTCTGCTGGTCCAGAGACACACGTGAGGATACCCCACAGCTTTGAAATGAATTTTCTTTTATGTGCTTCCTTAATACACGTGGCAAACATAAATTCATGCTCTTTTACCAAACCACAAGCCAGCTTGATTGTGCTGTGCAGGCTGCCTTGTCAGAGCAGCAGCAATAAAATGAGCACAGTTGAGAGAATGAAATGTAATTACTCTCTGAGCTGACGGGGCTCGAGCTGTGCAGCAGAGGATACGCAGCAGCATTGACTCAAACCTGAGGTTATTCTGTGTTTCAAACCTGAGGTTATTCTGTGTTACCCAACTCTGCCTAGGTTATTCCTGCGTGACTTCATTAGCTACACTGGATTTGCACAAGGATTTGGCTGTAGGTGTGTGCATTTCACATCTTGGCTTGTCATGTTTTGACAAAAGGTCTGTGAAGCTCAGTGGGATTGACAGCCTGAGCTGATGCTCAGGGAGCAAAGCCAGAGGATTTATCTCTGCCCATTCAGAACATTCTTACACAGGGCTGGGTTTGGGCACACAGTGGTTTTATACTGATGGATCAGGAGCAAGGGGAAGAGGGAAGAAATGACTAGTCCAATGCCACCAGGCACCCCTACAATATATACTGTACATTTTATGATTGGACTTGAAAATACACAGTAAGTCGCTAGAATACAGCTTCTCCTCATCCACTTCATTCTAATCATTCTAGATACTGACAAAACCTTGGGAGTCAAGGTGAACAGCCCAGCAAGCTAAGTCGCTGCTGTGGGGGTAACAGCTGCTGTGCCAGCTCCCCATTGCCTGTATTCACCAAGAAGCACTCTCTAAACCATTGCATGTCCTTCATCTGGCAGTTCAGGAGATAATAAACCAGGGCCAAATACAAAACCACACACAATTAGTCTGGGATATCTTCACTGAAGGTTACAAACCCCTGAAAGGGCTGAGGTGTGGTGTGCCGGGTTTACACTTGATGTGCTAGAGAGATAGCTAGTTTATAAAAGAAAATTTAGAGCGAAATAAAAATCAATTACACTTATAGATGGCTTTTTAAAACCCAACAGAATCAAAGGAAAAAACCTGTTGAGCCCAATTTTGATAGTTTACTTGCAGTGTAACTTCCCGGAGTACCTGGAAGATACTGGACAGATACTGGACAGATGATACTCATTTGTGGCTCATCAACCTTATCCGCAACCCTTGTGAGCACAGGAAGTTGGATCCAATCAACAGCCCAAAGATTCTCCATGGACTGGTGGCAATGGGTCAGCTGCAAGGTAACGAGGCAAGACCTGCCTGATTTTAGGCAAAGTTTGGACTTCATGTAGTAAGTCACAGCAATTTACGTGCTGTGCTCTTCACTGAGGAACAAGAACCTGAAGTCAAGACTTCAGAGGTTTTCGCTGGCTTCATTTTAAGAAGAATGAATTCACTGGTTAGGTTTTAGGCCCTGGTTTGCTCCTTGGTCTACAATTCCAAGTGGTCTTCTGGGAAGGGCTCCCAGAAGTCTGTCATCGTCACTATCTGCTCAGAAGGCTCATTTCTCTACCAGGCCTCTTCGAGTGAAGCACGTCAGAAAGGAGGGAAAGCACAAAGAGCTTGGGCCAAAACTGTTTCACAAATCCAGTCATTAACAGATAACTTCTCAGCCACCTTTCCTTTTTGTCCCCAAACCAATCTACTGTTCTGGATCCTGTCATTCATGATGGTGTGAATCAAATCCCACCTCTCCTGTCCAATCTCCATTTGCCCTGGACTTCTTTTTTCCCCTCTGAGCTGCTGCAGCTGCAGTTATTAGGGATGCTCCCATCCCCTGTGTCTACAGCACTACAGAAACATGCAGTTACACACATTCAATCTGAAACTGAAGGACGGGGTTTCTCAGCTGAGCTCAGGTTTGAATTGACCTACACATCAATGTTGCCTGCTGGTGGGATAACCTCTGGATGAGAAACCTGCCCCACCTGAACTGAGGCTTTCAGCAAAGCACCCCAGTGCTGCATGTTGGATACCGGCCTCTGCAGCTTTCAGAGTGGTGGCTGGGGAGGGTCTCAGTTGCCCCTGAGGATCAAGTCCTGTGCTTTCTGCTGCTCTCATTTTACCTTCTTTAGGAGCACTGAGTTCATGCACTAACTTCAATTAATTAAAGGAAATGGAATACCAGTTACCATAGGATGGGGTTGAGTAACACAGAGACAGCAAAAAGAAATACTGCATCCAAACCCCACACCACAGACATATGAACTAAAAAATCAGAGGAAAACTGTGACTTCAGACACTCACTCATGCCTGCACTTGTGCAGAGACATGGGTGGAACAGCCTTCAGAAGCTTCTCAGCTCTGGTCTGCCCTGTGCAGCAGGACCACGCTTACCCACACTGACCCAAGTGATGACTTTTTAATGTGGTTTTAAAATCCACTCCAGAGCAGGAGATGCCACAGACTCAGTGGTGTTTCCTTTGCCCATAACTAGTTGCCAGCTTCAGTCCTCTTCATTGTCCATTAGGCAAACATATTTTGTGCCCAGACACCTGAGCTGTGAGCCAGGGTCCCTTGTAGAGCAGCATGTCCTAAAGGGCTATTTTATTTCTTCAGCCTGTTCCCTTCACTGCTGTTACAAAGCCATGCAGAGCACAGCACTGGTGAAATTTGCTGTTGTATTAGTTTTAAGATCTTTTGGTTTAATTTTTAACATCTGTTCCAGTTTGATTTCCAACAAATGCGTTACGGAAGAGTTTGAGACTGTTTTGCTCAACATCATTCTTGTTCATACCTGCAGCAGCTGGTGGATAAGGTTTAGGGATAACAGAAAACCTTCAGGTTAATAAAGTGAGAGCTAGCAAGCCTACAGAAATACCATGTACTGACAGCCAGCTATAACCCATGTGAACCTGCAGACTGGTGCTGAGCATGCTGGAGTTAAATGCTGTATTGATTTGTTCCTCACCACCATCTCCGCTTACTTGTTGGATAGGGGATTATGTACTTTGGCAAGGCTCTTGAGGTTAGAAGATACTGCAACAGCAGTAGAGAATGAATGGCAGAAGTGACTGCACAGGACTTTGAGGGGTTTTCTTTATCAGGATTGAAAGAGAAGCCAAAAGGAAGCTTCTTGGCTAAAGAAAACAGATCTTGTTCTGGCCCTCTCCTCCCACACATCCCTTACTTCTACTCCCCAAATCTGTTGTTGCATTTCTACTAATTTTTGGTGAAGGGTTGGAAAAACCCCTGAAATAACAAGAAAACCACAGAGCAGCCAATAAAAAACCACTGAGTGTTCACTCATTTTGTCTGATGGTTCATTTGAAAACTGAACACAAACTGGTTGACCACCTCTGGACAGCTGAGCTCCTGCAGCCTGTGCTAACGCCACATATTCACCTTTCCCTTCGGTGCTGTAGTTATGACATCTTCCTATGCCATGCTTTTATCAGACTAGAGGCATTTAAGCTTCCAAATCGTAAACTGGGATTAAGTAAAAATAATCTCATCCTTTTAATTAAATAATCATTTCTTGTCTTTTTTTTTAATGTGGATTTCTAGGACACAGTCACTTGTGAAGCTGATCTGTGTAGCCACGGGGCTTAGGAACTTCATTTATTTGATGCAAGCTCTCTTGAGTCTCCTGAAATTCCCTGACCAGAGGATTTTGGACCTGAATCTAAAACCCTGTTGCTAAGGTGTTATGTCCTCTTCCTGAAATAACTATAGCAGCCTAAAAGTGGAGAGTTAGAGACTCAGCTCTCAAACTAAGGAAACAAAAAGGGAAGGTACAACAGTCATGTAGACACACACTGCCTACCTGTTATTGGAACACAAGAAGAAACAGTAAATCTCTGGAGTATTTCTGGTTTACCTCTAATCACTAAACTTGTCACATGGAGAACAAATCCTCAGATAAGCTGAGTGACATATGCTACATTAGGGGATCCTGAGGGAGATGGAAATGTATCCTGTCTTGTGATCACAGCATTCAAGGACCTAAACAATAAGGAAAGCACAATATTGAGCTATACACACTCCCAGTGCTGCTCCAGGGATGCACCAGCTGTTTACTCTAGTTTCTAAATGTCTAAATTGAATGCCAGGCTCCATAAAGAGCTAACATCAGCTTTAAAGCAAGTTAAATGGAGTATTGAGAAATGGCACCTGTTTGAAAACATGAGGGGGTTTCGTTCAAACAAAAAAGCCAACTTCACCCATCCAAAAACTTCCATGGCACTTTTTTTTGTGAAGGAATATTATATATCGTGAAAGAGCAGCCAGCCATGAACTGCAAGGCTTTATCTCACCTGTAAGAGCCAGAGAGCACGTATTTCCAGTCAGAGATAAGGAATTTTTCTCGTATTTGTCCTGAGAATTTCCTGCCTGATTTGGCACAGTAAACCTCTCCAGTGACGCTGCGGACCGAAATGTTCTGCAAACAAAGACAAAGGAGTGAATGACATTCTTTTTCATATGAAATACCCAAAGGAAATGGCCCTTTCCCCCTGCTGCCCTTAGCTCTTCACTTCCCCAATGTCTGCTATGAGTTCTTCATGGTCTCTCTAATGTTATATTTGAAGATCTGGGGCTAGGGGAAACCCAGCCAAGCTCTCTCACCTGCCCCAGGGTTACTTCTTTCAAGAGGAATATAAACTTGTGCTGTGTAGTGATAACTGATGCTGCCCTGACCCAAAGGAGACGTGTCCATAGCTGAACAGTCTGAAACCTCTGCTGACACTCCAGCAACACTTCTCTCTGGCTGTGAGCTTTCTTGTTTTACACTGGCTATGGCACAATACAGCAGAGCAAAACCTCTGCTCTTCCAACCCACCCTGGCCTGCAAGGACAATGTGTTGCTCTTCTGATGCAGCCCAGATGAATGCTGTCCTGCAGGATCTGATGCAAGAACACGTGTGAGTGCAGAGGCCCATGCAATGCTCTGCATTATCCCTGTACCTGAGCAAGTGCATTTTAAGCAGGCCAGGTACGCAGACCTGACTCTGCTGTCCATACGACACATTGCAGGGCCTTAGTAAATGAGTGACACCAAAGATTTGGCTCACACATGGTCGAAGCCTGTCTATTGTAGCAGCATACTTACAATACATAGCACAGGCTTGTCCTTCCTAAGGAGTGGGTGTTTACAGACATGCAAATGCTGTTATGAGCATGTTTTATTAATTTCAGTTTCTTTATATATCTGGGGTGGAATTCGGCTGTTGAAACACAAGTGTCTGGTGCACGTAAGATGCTCTCAGGTCTACTGCCTGTTCTCCAGCTGCTGTTCCAGAAGTCTGTTTCCTCTGTGACATCAGCCATCCCCACAAAGATGCCACAGGTGCCCTGGAGCACCTAAGCAACAACTGAAGTGGTCCCTAGGAAGTTTATTTTTAAGGTCAGTTCTCTCTGGCAGGTATGATTCTATGACTGATTCTGGCAGAGGTGAAGGTGAACTAAGCTAACAGCCAGCTAAATTTGAGGCATGATCTTTAAAACAGAACTTCAACATGTTTTATTAGAAACCACCTAGTGCAACCGAGGTACTGCCATGCAAAATGGTTTGTGTGCCTGCTGCCAGTGGCTGCCAGACCACAGCTACTGCACAGTAATTAAACAGAAGCAGTTGTAATGCTAGACAACTAGTTGTAATGTTAGACAACTCTAGTTGGGGACTTAAGCTCTGTTTTAAGACTTCAGGGCCCAGATTAGTTTCATCTAAGGACCCAACGGAAATGCTTTACCTTCTTATGACATCCATGGGAATATGGAGGCTTCCTCAGAGAGGAATTAGGTGCACTAACACTACCTCTGGAAATCCCTTGCTCCCTTTTAATTACAAGGTGGACTGACCCTCCCATAACCATGCTTCTAGCTCTGTGTCCCTAAAGTTGTGCAGCTGAATCTGAGCCTGAATGCTTCACAGAGCCACGGTACCTTGAAGAGATCCTCAGCAATCTGCAACTTGTCACACATCTCCGAGAAAAGATGGATGCTGCCGTGATCCAGCAACAGGTAGACAAACACCATGCGCTTGTTGGCTGCCTCCAGGAGGTCACAGAAAATCTCAGTGTCTGTGAACACATCCATCACGATAGCTAGCACCTAGGGAAAAACAGCAGAGGCATTTCCACACTTGATTTACATAACTTAAGGCTGCCTGTGAGACTACTGAGATGTTGTTTATTTGGTTGAAAATCGTATTGCCACCAACAGCCATCTTCAGAGGGTATTTCTTCTGGTTTTCTCCCTAAGTGCCTGAATCAGGGAATCGATGAGACACGTTGCTGCTTTGTTTTATTGCTCATCTAAAGCCAATATAACACGCAACTTACGCACTTCGGTTAAGCTCTTTCAATCATAAAACACAAGATGACCCATGAATTTGCAGGTGAGATTAAAGCACTAGGAATAATACTGAAACCCTAATCAGAGAATAATAAGGATGCAGCTAAAATAAGAGACTGCAGCCCCTGCCAAATGGCTGACTAGTTCTTGTGAGCCACATGCTTTTAGCAAGAATCACTGCAGGATGCTTTCTGCTAGGACTTAACCTGGAAGGGTCCTGGCTTTAAATCCCCACTCTGTTGTTGGGTGGGGTGATGGACTGCAACAACTCCGTCTGTTTGGGTTTTGGAGTTTCTAACAGTGATCTGTAAACTAACTGTTTCAATGGAGCCATGCATCCATGCTTCCCAGTTCACAACTGGCAGGACAGTGTGTAAAAGTCTCAAGACTGGGTGTAAAAGCCCTGACAGCTACTTAAATGCACACCCTTCAGCCAGTGTGGATCCAGGGAACTGTAAACATGATACAAACCCACCTCTATGCTCCAGCCCCTGTGCTCAGTGTTGGGCATGGCCTCTTGAAGGTGCTGGTGGTCTTCACTGATGTCTACTGTTGCCCATAGAAAAGGGCATCTCCCCAGAGCAGTTCAGCCCAGCTAATACCTGGTTTATCTTCAGAAGGTGCCTATTCCTCCACTGATTCAAAAGGAACTCTTGATAATTGCACTTACAGGATATCACCTTCAATCAAAACGAATTTCACAGTGTCTCTGCAGATCTGTCTTATTGTTTACTTCCAGCCTGCACTGAATCTTACTCCAAAGCCTCTTCCTACACCTGCCAGCAAGCTTATTCCCTTCATCATCAATGGAAATGCTACAAGATCAAGCACATCCTGTGTGGCCAGCATCCTGTTCAGGCAAGCCAAATTATTCATGGAGAGCTGAGGATCACACACCTTTTTCCTGCTGCCAAAGCATGGGGCTTCAGAAAGGGCCTTACCAGGGCCAGGTAAGCGGCATGAGTATGTCCAATATCTCACATCCACTCTTTCTGCTCACTCACCTTGTCTTTCTAAACAGCACAGGACTGCATCCAGCCTCACTGTAGCCCCAGAGCACCCTCTCCAGCTCTGCTTTTGCACCAGCTATTCCAAATTTGTGTTTCTGCACCTGGCTTTCCCCTCTGACATGAAGTACTTCTTGCTGCTTTTGCCTGAATTTCATTTCAGGATTTGTGCCTATTCCACAAATGTGTTAAGATTATAGCAACCACTCACCAGTCCTTTGCAGTTTGATATTAGCCGCAAACACAGTGTTTATTCTGTTGTGTATGTTGTTAATAGATATATCACATACTAGGCTATCTGGGATGGACCCATATCAGATTCTCATTAATACATGCTGCTGTTGGAAAACTGTACTCAAAACGCAGTTGCCAAAATTATACTGTGAGTAAGTGTTGCTCTGGCACCCTCTTGTAATGTAAATGAGATGGTTAAGGTCATGTGAACCATGGATTTATATTCCTTTTCGCACCTTTTTCCCTAGAAGTTTTCTCCTCTTAGGACAGAATATCAGCCTGGGTTGATACTTTGTCTGATGCTTATTTTATTACTCCAGAGACATTTGTCTTGCTGCTGTATCTTTCTGATACTGCAACCTCAAATGAGTGATCTGTAATACCCCTGATCTGCTGAGCACTCGCAGCCTTTGACAGGGCAGTTGCCAGTGGGGATTCTTCTCCCCTGCCATTACACTCATCATTATCAGACCCAGCACTTGCCCTTGCAGGAGAATAACACAGTGAAAGTTTGTAACTGCAGTGGGCTCCACAGCCTGTGCCGCACAGCGGGAACTGCAGCCTGGTTTTGTTCCTGGCCATTCCCGGTAAAACTGCTGGTGACGTGTCAAGTTTATACATGAGGAGACCACCCTGATGATCATAAACACAGCGCTGCAGTGTCAAACAGTTTTTTCCAGGAAAACAGGAGAGCTGCCAGAACACACATGACAGGGTCTTTTTGCCCCCCCTCCAGCTACTCAGCTTCTGGTTTCCCAATGTGTAGACACCCTGGCCTGCATCTGGCACCTCTCTGCAGCCCCCCATCACCTGTCTGTTGTCAGGGGCATCATCTGCACCTTTCCCATGTGCCAAGTTAAGCTGCAGTTTCTATACGGTGCCCATATGGCATTTTTAGTGACACTGACAGCACACTACGGATGAAAGGTCTTTTCCCTGAATAATTCCCTTCCTGTGGGGATGACTGCTGGCACAACAGACACACATGCCCTTTCCCAGGCTCCTCCTCATCCACATCTCACATGAATCCCCACGAACAACTGCTAATGGCTCAGAGCTCACTTTAGCTTAATTCTCATTACTGGTGCAGTGGGCTGAATGGAGCTCATCCTGCTGGTGATGCACAAGAGAGGATAGAGCCCAGGTATCCTTTCTACAGCACATTTGCTCTACCACCTTAATGTGAGTTGAAAAGAAGAGGGAATGTTTTTTTTCCTAAAGTCACCAACATAAAAAGGTGTAGGTGTGACTACGAAAGTAAAAAGCAGCACTGCCTGTGTTCAACAACAGGCTCTTTACAGCCACTTTCTAGAGCAAAGCTATACTACAATGCAAAAGGCTGGCTCGGATCAAACACCCTGTTTACATGATCTTTTTTAAGACAACTGGGTGCAGAGGGAACAGCAATTCTCTCCGTACCTGAGTGGTTTTGTTGATGTACCGGCGGATGATGTCTCTGATGTTGCTGTTCTTCTCTGTCTGGAAATACACAGTGGCAGTGGATTTTTCCTTTAAATAGGGTTTGTCTGCTGTAATCCATGTGTGCAGCAGAGCTGGCTCGCTGCTGTCAGAAATGGTGGGGAAGTAGGTCCCTGAAGGGAGTGACCTGGCATCGTTCTGCTTCGGCGCAGCCGTCCCATCGGCGGCCAGGGACTCCTCCGCATAGTAGGACTCCCTGGCATTATCCTTGATGTACTGAGCTTCCACTGAGGAGAGGAAATCCACCTCACCCTCCTTGTTTAAAGTTTCCAGGTAAGATATTGTCCCACCATCCAGGAAGGCATCAGTGGCTAACCTTATGCTTTCGTTGTGGCTGAAATCCGCTTTTGTCAGCTTCGAGGACTGGCTCTTGATATCCTCCAGCCTTTTCCTTATCTTGCCCAAGTGTCTGGAGTGGCTCATGGCTCTCTGTCGCAGCAGATCTGCCGGGCAGGCACCATGCATATGCATGGGGTGGGCAGCGCATTGGTCCTTGTTTGGACACTGCATTGTGGCGTGAAATCACCTCGGCTGAACGAATTAACTATGAATAAAAATAAAGAGATCTGATTACCTCAGGCACATTCACACTCCCCGATTTCCTTGGTACAATTGTCTTTAAAAAAACCCGAAGCTCAGTTCTCAGGTGGAGGTGTACTTCAGCCACAATCTGTTTCCAGATAGAACACAAGAGCAAAACTGATTAGATTGCTTATCTGACAGGTACCCACCTCACCCTGAGGGCATGCGATGGATTCGAGTCCAATTACCAGGGCCGTCCGATTCGGTTGTATTTCCCTTCCTGTCGCATCCTGTGCGATGTGAGTGAGGAAAGCACTCAAGCAAAAGCAGGTAGGCTCCCAAGCATCGTTGCATAATCTTCAAAACAGCTCGAGGCTCCTCTGTCTTCCCATAGTATTCGCTAGGGAGCAAAAACAACTCTGACGTTGAACTGGGACAGAGACAACAGCCATGTCCATAGCTTCAGAACAGCAGACGGGGGCACGGGCTCTTTCCTGCACCTACATGCTACCAGGCAGGCTTAAAAATAGGCTTGAACTTCGTCACTGTGCCCCGTTCGTAGTATGTTGCTATTACCATAGGCGATTCACTCATTTCTTTAAAGCTTTGTGACTACGCCACCCTATTAAAAGAAAAATACCCCTTCCCAAACATCCTGAATATTATGCGGAGGGAGGGTTGTGAGCTGGCCTCAAAGCATCAGAAATACAAACACTCATCACTTGATTGTGCACATTTAGGGCTGTTTGGTTGGTTGTGTTTTTTTTTTCCCTTCCCGGGCTGCAGCTCCTGGAGTCACGTTGTCCCTGTGGCAGCTCGGCTGCTGTGTCATTAGCAGGACAGAGGCGCAGTTCGCAGCGGGGTGCGAGGCACAGCGCCCCGGGGAGCCAGGCCGGCTGGTATGAGTGGCGGGGGTGAGGAGAGCAGGGTGGGAAGGCTCCCTGCCCGAGGTGCACCGTAAATACCTGTGTGCATGCCTGTGCGCGGGGGCACGTGTGACACAGACTTTGCACGAGGGTTGGGCTGTGTCATTAGCAGGACAGAGGCGCAGTTCGCAGCGGGGTGCGAGGCACAGCGCCCCGGGGAGCCAGGCCGGCTGGTATGAGTGGCGGGGGTGAGGAGAGCAGGGTGGGAAGGCTCCCTGCCCGAGGTGCACCGTAAATACCTGTGTGCATGCCTGTGCGCGGGGGCACGTGTGACACAGACTTTGCACGAGGGTTGGGCTCGTCCTCCCCCCTGTGTCCATGCACCGCCGTGCCACGGCTGCAGGGGGAGGGCAGGGCCGAGGGACGTGTCAGTCTCAAGGGTTCTTGCACGGGAGTGTGAGCAGCCGAGTGTGGAAATGGCCCTGACCAGTGCGCTCAGGATCCTGGATGTCTTCAGGGCCACACAGAGTGACACCTATGCCAGATGCCTTATGGCGGGGGGGGGCGCAAAAAG